AACGGCCGCAACTTCTAAAAAACAACGAGGTACTGGTGGTTTAAACCACAATTGTCCTCACCATTATTTCAATGATGCGGTACTTTTATCCCGAGCCTGGCTCACTGAGCCAAAACAATGGGGCCCTATGGGTAGCAGCAGGGGGAAAAAGATGTATTCTCACACTGCCACCATTTCTTTTGCCATGAAGAAGTTTGGGTTTCTTTTTTTCTTTTGGGGGAGAAGGAATCATTACGTAATCTATGTTCCTGATTTTTTTAGGATTTCTTCATCCAATATTCTGATCATGAAAAACCTCTGAATTCGTCGCACTCAGCATTTTGCAACAAACTGCCGACTGCCGATGATCAAGCCTACTAGCAAGACCTTTCTCGGCCTTTTGGCTAAGATCACGTGTAGTATCTGTTCTGATCAGTTTAATATCTGATCCGTGGTCCATCGGATCACACAAAAAAAAGCAAAAAAAAAAGCGTACTAGCCACCGTCAGATCTTCAAGATCGGGCGGCCCAAAAAATTCCACCCATCCACTTCAGGCCCCTTTTCGGGCCCCCAGTCGAAAGGTAGGAAGGTTCTTCTACTGTACCGGTTCTGGTGGCAATGGCTGTCGACCCTTCACAGAAATGTGGAGGACCATCCACTGCACAACTTCCATCCCCTTTATACCCCATTTTCAGATGGTCGCCACCCACTCTGAAAATTTGCGCCACCTTGAAGCAGGCGCGCAACCCATTACACCGCAGCCTTAAGGCTGCGAATCACAATGCATTTGGAGAAGAGCCTATGCGAGAGGTGCTATGGAACGCTATGACTGATGCAGGCAAGCCCCTGACAAAAGAGAAAGCAGAACATAATCTGAACAGTTCATCCACCCCGAATTGTGTACAACCTTTCATCTCAAGCATGACGTTCCCTGCCAGTCTTTGAATACGACACCCTCCATTCTCAAACACAACATACCATATACAGTGTTTGCATAAAACTCTGGCGTACTGAAATAGTACGCAAGGGATTGTACCCCAACAGTGCTGTTCTATCAGGACCCACACACACTGCCCCCCGTGTGCAGGGCGCTGACCTAATGAAAAACAACACATTTCTACCTATCCTCGCTGCTTTCCGGTCCTGCCACTCCGCTCAGAATGCGTTGAATGACCACCAAGTAAACGTCATAGGGCATGTAAGAGCACAGGACAACCACGCACAAAATGGAAAGAGCAGAAAAAGGCCCATACCTGCCGACACACATTGCCCCCGTTGCAAACAGTGGCCGGACCTCTAGAAGCAATGAAAAACGGCGCATTTCTACCTATCCTCGCTCCGCTCAGAATGTGTTGAATGACCACCAAGTAAAGGTCACAGGGCATGTAAGAGCACAGGAAGAGCAAGCACAAAATGGAAGGAGCAGAAAAAGGCCCATACCTGCCCAGTGGCTCGGTCGTATCCGAATACATGCTAGTGTTGATAAACAGATTGAGAGATTAGACTCTTATATGGTATGGTTGCAGTAACATTGGGGCTAAACCCTCTCAATATTACAAACGGACAAAAAAGGGAAAAGACTCAACAGCAAAGCGAAAACACAACCAAGATGAGCCGCTTCATACATAACATTCGCAAGTCACAAAGGGCCCAAAAAAAAAAAAAAAGGGACCAAGGACTGGGGGCAGATCAAGTTAGAAATTCCGATAAGACTTTACCCATCACGATGCCGCTTCCGCTTACTATCATGTAGGACATCGATAGGCTGCACAACAAAACCACATAGACCAAAACCTGACATTAGCAGCGCAATAGCAAAAAAGCACAGACAATAGTTGCACGTATTCCATCAGTGCACTCTCATGGGAAATCAAAACCTGAACACAAAAACACCACAGGATCACAAAAACCTACTTTCACCTGAACACACTTTCACCTGAACACAAAAACACTACACAATCACAAAAGCCTACTTTCGTCCACCCATTATCAGTTCTGCCAGACATGTGCAGTCCACACCTAAAAACCAAAACAAACGAACAAACTTGGACACTACAGGTAGCATGGATATGCCGGTCACAAGGGCCTACTTTCATCCATCCATCCTCAGTTCTGCCAGACTTGTGTCAACGAAAAGTCCATCAAAAACGAGCAACCTTGCTTCAAATCCCCCCACACCAAAGTAAAACGCAGTGCTTGCCATCCCTTTCCGGATTAATAATCAAACCCAGTAACAAAATGAAAACAAACGAAGCCAGCCAGCCAGGCGGTTAAAGGCTGCAAGATCGTGTTTAATCTATCAATATCTGATTGAACACAGCATTAGAACAATGGGGTGGGCAACTATACCAGCAAGCATACCAGGTCAACCCATCATCTCGTGCACCCGTTTTGCCTCGCCTTGAACAACCCCCCCCCATACTAGGTCAACCCATCATCTCGCGCACCCATTCTGCCTTGCCTTGAACAACCACCCCTCTCTCTCTCTCTCTCTCTCTCTCTCTCTCTCTCTCTCTCTCTCCCCCCCTCCCCCCCCCCCCCCCCCCCCCCCCCCCCCGTGCTGCACATATGAATGAGATTACACTACATGTTACTTGAACGCCTTCAGAGATGCAAGTTTGGCAGTCACGGACTGTTCGATGACACCTGCACGATCATGCTATACCATCATCAAGGGGTTGCTGCTGCTTGGTACCAACCACACTCCCCAAGCAGAGTCCATTGAGGGGTTGCCCATACCACACTGCTTGGGAAGGAGATAGCCATGGAGGGTGGCCTTTTTGGCTTATTCAATAGATATTCTGCGGCCTCACTGAGGTGTGAAGAGTCCATCAAGGGGTTGCCCATACCACACTGCTTGGGCAGAAGATAGCCACGACGGTTGGTCTTTTGGCTATTCAATAGACATTCCGCGGCCTCACTCGGGGTTTTCGAATTCCCGATGCGCTGAATCCAGAATGGTCAAACTACCACGCGACTACACAAATGAACAGAGCAGCAACACTTGATATACATATATACATATAGACTGTAAATGAACATATGGGCTGATTGCTAACCATCGGTCATGTTGGAAGTCAACAGAGGAAGCTGTTCAGTTACCTTGGCTGGTTCTGAGACATCCTCAAAAAGCACCCGAGGATCCAGAAGCCGCGGGTCAATCTTCTTCGGGGCCTTGAAACCACGACAGACGACATAAATTTCTGCGGATGTGTTTCTACTTGCCATTGGCTTTGTTGATTCCACTTTGTCAAATAGCTGCAAACAGAGAATTGCCCATAGAAATAACACCACCATGGCACAGTGCAAAAGGGCGAGCCACACAGCAAAAGACAGGTGTCAACAGGAAAGCAGAGCAAATGAGAGAGAGAGAGAGAGAGAGAGAAAGAAATTAAAGGAAAAATAAAAACTTAGTCCTGAGAAATATGTTTTGACTGCTTTAAAACGACCACTAATTTCTTCGTTTTTTTTGGTTCAATGTGGACCATTTCTCGATTTATGTGTGTCATTTGCTCGGGGGACACGATAATCTTCTCTGCATCGTTCCAATTTCAACAGAATGTTCTGCAGGACAAGGCCACTTATTTCTAACCCACGAATAAACAAAAATGAGATTTTGGATCTCCCTTATGCCAATGCCTCAGGGACTGCAAACAAGGACGTAGTGGCCGGATGAGGGAAATCTGCCACACTTGTGAAACCACTCAAGCAAAAAAAACAAAAAAAAACAGGGCCTCGACGCAATTTTTTTCACTCCCATCAACTCTTCGTGGCAAAAGTCCTCGTCTCCAGCATTCACCACGTGTGCATAACGTCCACCCTGGATTGCTGCTAGACCCCCTTGCGACGCGATATTTGGGTACCTAGGAAGAAGAATCCGGAATCAATATGTGATATCTTAATTTCTTTGTTTATCTCTAGTCCGCACGTACTTAGAAAGGCCCATATAAGATCACGTTATCTCAATTGTGTCAGGAAGAGGGCAGGTAATGCCTATCACAAAGTCATCTGCGTATTGCACATAGCTAAGACGTCGAAAGTTCATGTCTGCCACTTCCTGCTTGTCATATTGCTCCCCAGCTGGGAAAGCATAAATTGCCAGAGTGCATGTATAATCTCAACTTTCCAAGTTCATCAAGGGTCTCACCCACCCCGAGGAAGAGCTCATCTGCCACTTGAGCATGAGAGTTGAAAGGAGGTCAAGGTGCCAACCAACTCATCCACACTCTCAGGCTCAGTAGGCACAGATGCTACTCCTACTGGGTGCTCCCTTTTGGTTCATGGAACTGACACCACCATGCAATGATGCGTCCCTCAATGCTGCAGCACTTGAGGCATTGTCCCTTGTCCATCCTCTCTAGCCATACTTCCTGGGTAATGCCCATCTTCTTCCAGGGCTCAGCGGCAGCTCTGCCAGGATGTGGTGGGAATTTCGCATGATCTTGCTTCCTAGTTCTAAATAAGACTCTTCACTTGGTTGGCCTCGACTGCCCACCCTTACCACCTCTTCATACGCGTCAGATCAGTGTGGAGCTATGGAAGTTCATTCTCAGACCCTCTGTTCTCCAGAAGCAAGCTGCTGTCTCATCATCATTCACACCACCAGGTAAGTCAGGTAAGCCTCTCTTCTCTCCCTCTCACCTCACAGGTCTGGTCACCCTTAACCTCACTGTCTTCCTGCACCTAGCTCTGCCGCAGGGCTATGGCCCCGTCTACTGGAACTCACTGTCTCTCGCCAGCACTCTTATCCTACGTCCTCCAGAGCTGGCGCTCCAGCATCAAGCAGTGCAAGGCAGAAGAAACAAGTCTGCTGGGGCAGGCGGCAAATTTACAGTGTTGATCCTGCTTGGCCTGCTTCTTTTGCCTCCTTGAGATTTCTCCACCTTCATCGTCTGCAAATGTGTGCTTGGACCCAGTGGGCCTTGCAAAACTTCTGGAAACTGCATATGGTCTTTGGATGTGCCTGAGATCTGAGGCCGACTCCTAAGAAATCTTCTCCTCTCGGACTGCTATGCCCACGTTGGACCTGACGCTTGACTTTCTATCACTAGTTCAGCGGTCCACCGGTTACCTCTTTTGATCCTACACCGCAAGGCTTGCGGACGGGTTGTGGCCGGGTTATCTTCAACTTTCCTGCCAGCTTATGATACGGCACTTGCTGCGCATGCAGTACGGTGCGCGGTGAGGCGGCAAAAGTTGCTTCCCTTGTAGTCTCTGATGCTCCTCCTTCCTCTTCGAGCGAGTCATCACCGATCGCGTTGTGGACAGGCTGTGGACGGGTTGTGGACTTTTGACCCCTAAACGTACCTTTTGATTCAAGGACATTCTGGTGCCAGAGCAAAGGTTGTGAACCCCTACACACCTACTTTTCAGAATCTGGATATCAAGGACAGTCTGGTGCCGCTGCAAGGGTTGTCGACGGGCTGTGGACTTTTGACCCCTAAACGTGCCCTTTCCCCCCCCCCCCCCAAAACACCGACTGGACCAAATGTTACGCCTTTGTCTGTGTGTGCGGATTGTGGATCTGATTCTTTGCACAAATAATACGTACGTAATTTGACTGTATTTACATTTACATTTTCTATACTACTTGCATTACAATATATATGATTATATAATATTCAAAATTGCATATACTTTTTTATATACACTACTATTTCACATAATATTCAATCAAACACAAATCAATCGATCGAGTACTACTCGTTCATTCCAGTATTTCCGACTAATGAATCCAAAAGTTAACAATGAATTATGAAGTTCATTGATATTTTACGTTCCGTTTTCAACTTTTCACACTCGTTGATTGACAAGATTATTAGACAAGTTGATACAAAACACCACTGAGAAAGCAATAGAACCAACCAATCCTTTGTGCTTCGTCTTCTTCTAGGCAAGTCTTTGGGGTCACTATATAGAATTCCCACCTGACGGTTGCCTGGGAGTGCCTTTTCCACTCACTGATTTGACCAATTTTCTACAGTTTGGTCAGTGAAATTCAAGAATGCATCAACTGTTATGAATGTTATCTATCATCGAAAGTGGGGGTAGAGGGGTCGAACCCTCATGTGGCTTAAAAGTTAAAACCAACGGATTTTAATCTTACTTTCCAAGCGGAATTTTCTCTGGTTTGCACTTAAACATTTACCCAGATCCCTTCCCTCGGTCTTGAATACTGAAAAGCTTCTCTACCTGGTGGTCGACGTTATGACAGTGTATTTCTTGCACTGCTTCATCTTCATTTCTTACATCTTTCCTGCTTCGCCTTCACTTATTATAACGCACATTTTCAGTTTTCGTTATAACCTATTAACAGTTCACACATTCACTTGTCTTGGCAAACGGTAGACATGGCTGAGCGAGTCAGCAAAAATCGGAAACACACACACACACACACACACACACACACACACACACACACACACACACACACATAAACACACACAGACCACCTGCTAAAATTGAAAATGCGCATCACAGCCAAGCCTTTGGCCTCATTATGGATAGACATGGGTGAGCGAGTCGCCAAAGTCGGAAAAACACGCAAATACAGACACACACACACACACACACACACACACACACACACACACACACACACACAAACACACAGACCACCTGCTAAAATTGAAAATGCGCATCACAGCCAAGCCTTTGGACTCGTTATGGATAGACATGGGTGAGCGAGTCGCCAAAATCGGAAAAACACGCAAATACACACACACACACACACACACACACACACACACACACACACACACACACACACCACCTGCTGAAATTGAAACCGCGCAGCACAGCCAAGACTTTGGCCTGATTACAGATACATGTATACATACATACATACATATACGTGCATGCATACATACGTATACATACCTGATTAAACGCATAAAGAAGGGCATTGTAATCGCGAGACCTGAACACCTGTGGAAACACCAAAGTAAATGTCATCCAACGCTTGCATTGTCAGTGAAGCAATCACCCGTTCGCTCACTCACTCGTTCACTTGGTCTTTCACACGACTCTCACTCACTCAGTCGCTCACTCGTTCACTCACTCACTCACTCAGTCGCTCACTCGTTTCACTCACTTACTCACGCACGCACGCAATTCCGTCATTGATTCGTTCGCTAACTCACGTGCGCACTCGCTCGTTCAATCATTCACTCACTCCCTCACACATTCATTTACTCACTCACTTACTCGTTCACTTACTCATTCACTTACTCGTTCACTTACTCATTCACTTACTCATTCACTTACTCGTTCACCTACTCGTTCACTTACTCATTCACTCGTTCAATCATTCACTCATAGACGAATGGCGTCACCATGCGCGGTGATAACGGCACGTTCAGTGGATCCATTCTTCCGTAAACGTCACAAACGGTGCACTTGGCGGGTCGATGTGAGACCAAGACGCAGATGTCCCAAGTGGTCCATTATGTTCAAATCCCGTACATTCCGTACATAATAAGAGATTTTATATTCCCGCCTTTGAAGAACCGCCTATCCGGACACAACTGCCCAGGATTCCCGTCTGATAATCCTGCACCTGAACATGCTTTCACTTGGTTTACTCTTTCCTGTCCATACTTCCCGCACCCGCCGCCCTCCCCCCCCGCCCGTTGCCCGAATTCCCTCTTTTCCTTCCTTTCTTCCGTTGCTGGCCATGTAGGCCATATTGGCTGTCCCTCAGATTTGCGCGTATCAGGATGGTGCCGAGGATATCTATTGCTGGCTTCTCATCGAGAATGAATCCATCACAAAGACGTCGATAGGAGGACTGATCCTTTCCCGGGCAGAAGTCTCTTTCAGTCTTGTGAACATCCCATCCCAGTCGTAGTGGCAATTAGTGCCTGCACTGTGCACCAAGCGCCATCCGTCTGAGGACGGACGAACGGATCCATTGAATGCGCCGTTATCACCACGGGCTGTGGGCATGGTCGCGCCCTTCGTCGTTGCTCTGTCTCACCCTGAAACTGTGAGCATCACAATCTCATACCGTCTCTTCTTCTTTTGTTAATTTCTTCTTTCCT